AGATTAAATTCAGTCGAAGCTTTTTAACTATTTGTATTGACAAAACTTTATGTAGGTACACTTATCATATTATACAGTCTTTAAAATAATCCAAAATACTTATTTATTTTTGTCAAAATAAATTTTTCTAATCTTAAAATTACAAAATTAGATGATATTTTTGTTATAATATATTAACCTACCTACCTACAGATATTCTTATTCCATAATAGAGAAGCTAGATTTTTTTAAATAAATGCTGTTTAGTTAAAATTATTTTATGGAGAAAACCAGATATTTTGACCAAATGCACAAAAATATTACTTATTTGGCACCATACACTTTAGGATTTCATTAAATGCAGTATTTATATTCTTAAATTCTTAATCCATCCATTGTTATTCTAATGTTATAAAGATTTATACATTTTTAACGCCTAAACATAATATTATTTCTTTCGTTGACTATACTTTGACAGAAACATAACCTGAAAAGCCTTAAATGCCAAATTTTCAAAAGACTGCGTTCCGTACGTGGTCACGTGGTGGGACTTTGAGGTGTGGAGCATAGTACAAAAAGTTTTTGTTGAAAAAAATGCGTAACTAAAAATACCAGTTGACGTTTCCGAGCGTTTTTTTGAAATTTATTCCATTTGGCTAAAACACACTTGGTCATAAACTTCCCAAACTGTTTTTTAAGCCGCTGCAGCGCGCTGGTTAAATGTATGAATTCAATAATAAAACTAGATTTAAATTTTCTAATTGCGTTTTTTTGATAAATTGCTTTTTTAAATATATTAAGAAAAATATTTCGTATGTTAAATCACAATGGAATTAAAATTAAATTAAATTTAACAAAAAAATCAGAATTCGTGAACCGGATCACCAAAAATTATTGGTTATTGTTTTTTAAAGTTTATTACTTTATTATGCTTAGTTAAGATTTAAAATGCGATTTCCCAAATGAGGCTGCATAATTTTTTTCCTTTCAGTTATTGTCGTAAACAATTTTCGGTCGTTTTTTTTTCATTTGATTATTATTCAAAATTTATTGGACGGAATTAAATAAAATTTTGTAAACAATATGTCGTACTTTACAATCTAACTTTTTTGGTTCACCAACCTTTAATATTTGTTATTTTATAAATGTTTGTTTATAAAAATTGTTTTTAACATTGCTCTGAAGCTTTGAAAAATAAAAAAAACATGTTCATTTGAATTGATTCGAACGTGATGTAAGCATGATATTAAATAATTAAGTAATTAAAAAACTTTATTAAAAATTAAATAATCATTTAAACCTAAAATCAACATAGAAAGTAAATAAGTAAATAAGTAACAATTATTGTCAAGTTGTTAGTTTAATATACACATTTTTAAATCTGGACATAAAAAACGAAGAGGTTTATTTAAAAAGAAACTTGCTTTTACACAATCATGTTTTTATAAACTTCTTTATCTTCCTTATTTGGGAATACATTTAAAAATGTTTCATACACATTTTTTTTAAATCATGGAGTTTAAAAGGTTTAAGTTAAAACAAAAAAAAATAATTAGAAAACAAAGGCTCAAATAAAAAATATTTATTTGAAAAAGTATTAATCTCGAGGAAATCTATATGGTAGATTTTACAAACTCTTCTACGTTGTCCATTTTAAGAGTAGTATAATTAAATTGTAATGGTTATAATAGTAATATTAATAATAATTTTAATATGCAACTTTAACTATTATCTTATTTAATTTATTAAGTTTTCGCTCAAATCTAGTGAAACAAAATTACTTTATTTCAAAACTATGAAATTTGACTTACTTTTTTTATTTTTATAATTTAAAAAATTAAAAAGATTAAAATTAAGTTAATAAAACCAAGAAATCTTATTTAATTTTATTTAATTAATTAGCGGGTATTAGATAATAATTATCATCTTTTAAAAAATATTATAAAAACACCTAAAAAAGTAAGAGGGTAAAGCAAAATTGGACCATATTTGACAAAACCAACTTTATTTTTTGATAAACTATCGGCTGGTGAAATTCTGTTGATATAAACTGGACCACCCTGTATATTTTTGGTATAATATAAAAAAAAAATTTAATACTTAATCAATATAAAATATTAATTAATAAGTATTAAAAAGTATTAATTATAAGTATTAAAAAAATAAAATATACGTGTTTTTAATTATACCAAAAATATTATTGAAAATTAATTCAAAAAATTTCTACTCCTAAATAATATAACCGCCTAGCCTAACAACGGGAATATTGAACTCATTATTCACGTTGTTAGGCATCAGTGATTGGCTGTTTTTAATATTCACTGTTATTTGAACCAATCGGGTTTTAAATTGGGAAAAAGTAAGGTTAACAGATGTCAGTTTGTTTAAATATACGAGGGGCGACTATAATGATCTTTAAAATCGGGAAAAAGTGAGGTTATAATAAATTTTGTTGTCAATGAAAATTACTTAATTGGAGTAGAAAAAGCATAGTATTACACTCGAAATAATGCGCATTATTTACTCGGATGATTTACGTCTCTCGCCTGACGCCTTGTGAATAAGAGCCTGCATTATCTCTCGTATAATAATATACTATTATACCAAAAACATTTTACAAAATTACTAGTTAATTATTTTGGAAGCCTAATACTTATGATTAATAAAAATATAAATGTTTGTATTGAGCCAGCTAAACTAATTTAAAAAGCATTTTATTCGTACATACAGTGTGTCTATTTAAAAATAAGCAATGCTTTATAAGTATGTACTTAAAAAACGTTTCTAGGATATGTTTATGATATGATATGCTTCACTAAGCAACCCCTGGGGCTGTAACCACCCCAACTCATTTTTTTTAAACACTCTCTTTGTGATACCTCATTGGAAATATTTTTAAAATTGATATTTAACAGTAAATAAAATAATAATAATAATAATAGTTTAATTTTTTAAAAATACGCTAAATAATTTTTTAACTTAATTCTCGTTATAAATATAAAATTAAACCATTTTAATGTCGTAAAAGCATTAGTAAAAAAGTGGAAAACACAAAATAATTCTAATAAAAGCATAAATAAACAAATTGTTCAACAATAATCAAAAAATTAAATGCTCAAAATGAAAACGAAAAGAAGTATAAATTTTCAAGAGGTTTTTAATTAAGGTATCACAAAGCCATTTAAGACAATTGAGTTGGTTAGTAAAGGTCATATCCAAGAACGGTGATGATAATTTTTTTAGATATCTTGTAGAGCATTGCTCAATTTTAAATAGATGCCCTGTATATAGGTATTTAATTTTGCAAGGTCGACTTCGTAGACTGAGTGGTGTATGAAAAATCGATATTGATTAAATATATGTAATCAAGATTTATTAGTGATTAAAAAAAGGTATAGTAGTTGTTTAGGTAACATCGAACTCGTGTTAATTAGCACATGAATAAATTAATTAACTCAAACGTACCAAATTGCGAAGGTACAAATTTATTAATATTTTTGAATTTAATTGGGTAAACAATTAACATCATTATAATTATGAAAACTTTACATAATAATTTAAATTAAATGTTATTATTAAAATATTGAATTTTTTTTTATTAAAATATAATTAGAAATTAATAAACAAATTTACTTTGTAACTTTTTATTAAAACAAACAAAATTAATACATCTTTATTTTAAGTTTAAATCAATTTTTTTTAAATAAATTTAATTATATTACGATTTAAATTGACAATGTTTAATAGCTTTAATTGTTGATAATAGAACCTATATAATTATATTATTAAATGAGAGATAATGCGCATTAATTTTTGTATTTTAACACTTTGAAGTCTGAAATTTGTTTTAAAAATTTTAAATATCATTATAGTTGCCTTCTCCCAATTTAAAACCTAATTGGTTCATATGAAACAAAAATTAAAAATCACCCTAATAATTAGCAATTTTAAAATATAATTTTTTAAGCCATAGAAATTAGTTTTCGATCGTTTTGCGATTTTTTTTATTTCGTCTGAATCTAAACTTTTTTCCCATTTTTATTTGTAGTTAATGTTTACTTATAAATTTGTTACAGTTTAAAGTTTTAACTTCCAGGTAAAAGTAGTTTTAATTTGACAAAGCTCGAATACAATAAAACAGTGCCTAAGGCCAATTTAATCAGAACTTGATTAAAAAAAGGGTTACGAATAGGTCAAACAACATGCGTTCAACGCAAGTATTTCTCGAAAGCTGAAATTCAGGAAAATATATAACGAAATTAGTTAAAAGGTTATAAAATTAACAAATATGATTTTACATCATTTTAATTTATAAAAACATTTATAATTCAACTTGAGGGTAATAAATTAACTGTAATAAGAAAAAAACGTGTGCTATATATATACTTATCTAAATCTCAAGTTAATTAAAATGGAAAATAACCGAATTAATTTAATCAAAAATCAATAAACAATTATAATTATAAGTATTTATTTAAGCTTAATTATTTATTTATTATCGGCTACCTAACTAGATAATCCTATTGCAAACTTGATATGATCACTTGATTAAGCAGAAGTCAGACAATTTCTTGTTGATCCTCTTCAGCATTAATTAGGAGATAAGATGTATTCTGTATTGTTTCGTGAAAGTTTGTATAAAGTAAGTTTCAACTATTGCTGTATATTGCAAATTATCAAACATTGGTTGAGTACTAAAACGGTTCTATAGACATTATGGTAGCTTAATGTGTACTCTGGGATAATTTACATGAAAATAAAGTTTAAAATATTTTTACTCCAACCTTTAAAACGCCCATTATCGTACATGTTTCCTTGACACAGTGACACATTGACAAGTTGTGGATTTAGTTTTAAGTTAGTTGACAATAATTATTATCAAATATCATACAATCGGTAAAATAAAGTGCCTTTCTTGTAAAATGTAAAAATTATTTCATTATCTCAATACAAAAATACAAAAGTATTTAATAGTTTCTCAATGCCAATATTTATAAAGTTTAAATGCATGTTGAGCTGACCTTTTGATTTCGCCTGCAGAAAACTAAATTTAACTCATTAACAATTAAAAATTTTGGGTGGAAACTCCACCGTGAAGTTCCCATACAACATTATTTTTACTTTCACTGTGAAAAACTGCTTCTATATCGGATTTAACCGGTGGTTAGTCCATTTTTAAGGTATGCATTTTGATTTACACATAAAAGTTTTACATTTTGACCGGCGCGCCGGTAATGGTTACTCTATTGTTTTATAGATGTCGCTATATTCAAATATTTCATTTAAATCATTTTTAGTAATATAATAAGTATTTGTCGTAGAAAAAGTATAATATGGAATTTGTTTATAAGGATATAAACACTACTTTGGAAGGCGAACAATTAAACAAATATTTTGCAAAAACATATAATAAAATCTCTATCAATTGAAACATCAAGAAAAAAAGCAAATACTCTATTAGGAAACATAAATTAAAAACAATAAAAACAAGTTTAATGGTCTTATATAAAACTGACCCTTCAGATGTTATCAAAGCAGCAAAAAATGTAAAAACAAAAAAGCCAGAGATGTATATGGGGTATCAGTAAAATTCCTATAGCAAGTTTTAAAGAAGGAACCTTCCCAAACCATTAAAAGTTGGCAAAAGTAGTACCAATATTCAAAAACGAAAATCCAAATAAATGTGCCTTTTCAAAAAATTTTGAGTGGTTATTATAGGTTAGGATCGTGAAATTTATCGAAACAAAGAAAATAATGAAATCAAAGGTCCAGCACACGATATACTTTCATCTTACTTAAGAAACTGAAAATAAATATTGTGGAAAAATAGACAAACCAAAGAAGAATTAATAAACATGGGAGTACCACAAGGGTCCATCCTAGGACCAATTTTGTTTATCCTATATACAAACGATCTGACAGAAAATGTAAATGCTTCAAAATCATCCACTTATGCTGATGATACTACTTTTATAAATAGTTCCGACAATACAAAAAGGCTAAAACAAAAGTCTATTGAAGCAATAAACATACATACACTGTGAAAATAGTTATTTTTGTTACAAGTACCTAAAACGAAGTTTTTCAGGACGAATCATTGTTGTTTCCGAACGAGGCGTTTTCCGAGTCCGGAATAGCAGATGATTCCTGAAAAACTTCATTTAGTACGTGTGACGAACACTATTTTTTTGTTATACGCTTTTCACAATTCTTCAGAACGCTTACAAAGTAAACAATTTATATGTATATTTAACATATTCCTTGTGTCCCAGAAAGTCCACTCAAATTTTTTAGTTCTTCAGAACACTTACACAGTAAACAATTTTTATGTATATTTAACATATTACTTGTGTCCCAGAAAGTCCACTCAAATTTTTTAGTTTTTTTGATTTTTATTACTTATGTTAATTTTAACTGCAAAGTTAATTTAACAAATCTTGTGTCAATTTTTTTTTAAATGGTTATTTTTACCTAATATATTAATTACTATGATTTAAAATCTGTATAACTTTAACATAATTAAATATGTTAAATTTATTTATATTTTATTTATTTTACAAAAAAAAGTGTTACTTTAACATATAACTTTATATTTATTTTAGACAAATAGTTTGTCTTCATTTAATTATTTTAATTTGTTATTTTAAAAATATTTTTTAATTAATTTTTACATTAATAATTGTTTATTTTTATTTATTAAAATATTTAAATTAGTATAAAAATTTTGTTTTTTTACAAAAAATAAAACATGTAAGTACCTATTTATGTTATAATAATAATGTATTATAATAAAAAGGCCAGCAATGAAGCATTGGAATTCACTAAAATTGCACAGTCCAGTCCTTTTTTGTATTCCAAAATAAAATACAAATCCATGCCATAGGGTAAACGGTCTTCAAACATTTCTGGAGATACAAACGTTATGTAATTAAAATAAACATTATCATAGCAAACTTATTTTTAAATTTTGTTAAACACACGCTATATAAAATCACACTTAACCTTAAAATTAGGAACCTCTAGTGGAATTAACTATCATCATCCGAATAAACGCGGTTAGAAGACAAAGGGCCTTGCAGGGTACCGATTTTAATCGAAAGAAGGCGAAAATTAACGAATTAGAAGAATAACATTTATATTTAAGTAGAATTGAATAAAAAAAATACTCAATTGGTTTAATTTGATTAAAAATTTTCTGTACTCAAATATTTTTGAGTTAGATTAACACTTGTTTAGGAGTTATTTAAACTAATGTATTATATTGAAATTAACATAATTTTTTCGTAACATTAACTATATTATTATACTACAATGTACAAAAAAAGTATTATTTAACATTCTTATTTGTGTAGGACCTTTTAACACATTAATGTTTGTTAAATTTTTAAATTTTAATTATTATAATTTTTGTATCAAGTAACATATATAATTTATGTTATAAACACTAGGAAGTTTATGTATTTTTACAAATTTTATTTAACACGCATTATTTTAACACAAATTTTATAACAGTCAACAGTGTAAATTTTGTATATTTTTCCTAATTTTTAAATCTAATGTTCGAAAAATTTGGTATAGAAATAATTGATATCGTAGCAACAAGTTTGTTCATTTGATAATTTTGTAATGTCATTAGAAATTTGTTAGGAAGTCATATAAATTTTAAAATGTTTTAAAATCCCGAATATATTGCTAATAAGACCCAAAAAATCGTGTTGGATTTACCATAAAGAATATGATGCTTTTATTGTAAGTAAACTTCTAAAAACCTAAATACTTGGGTTGATATTGTTAGTATAGATTAGGGTTCGCAATCCCGAAATCCCAAAACCGAAAATACCGGTTTTTCAATACCGAAAATACCGGGATCACAAATCATGATCCTGGTATTTTTATTATTTAAATTTATGTTAAAACAAGTTTAAGAAGTTAACACTTCCCTAAGTGCCAACTTATATGAAGCCCTAAGGGTAAGGATTGCTCAGCGCAGAACTTATTGCTCAGGTATTATCCGCTATTTGCACAATCCCAATGATAAAGAATCAGATGCTCTGTTCAATATTCTCAACAAAAAAATTATTAGGGAAATGCTTGAAAACGTTTACAAAAAAACCAAATGTTTCTTTTTAAGAAGACGATCACGAGGATAAAATTACTCTTTTAGTCATGCTACTGCTCCAGCCTCAAATTGAAACTAACAAATCATTGACAAATAACGCAATGGACCCAATAAAACAGCACCCTCAAAACGATTTAGTAGCATCAACTCTAAAAAAAGAAATGTCGCTTTTTGAAAATGGGGGAAGCGGGGATGCATTCCTGAAGATGAAATATGATTTCCCCACTAGTGTGGATTCGAAAAGGACGTTTTCGGCAGCAGAAACCCTATCTAGAAAAATTATATCCCGACTTGGGGATATACCCTTCATGAACTAATTTTTCTGCGGTATTGGTTTAGCCGCTGAACGCCTAGGAATATTTTTTTGGTTTAAATTGTCTTTTAAAATTAATTAACTTTGCTTTCTTTTCTTTTAATTTTAATATCAATCTCGAAATCTCGGTATTCCCGGGATTGTTAAATATCGATATCATAATCCCGGGATTATATTTTCTCTTCGAGATTGCGAACCCTAGTATAGATAGAACAATCAAATATTAAAAACAGTTTTTTTTCGAATTTAGATATTCTAAGGAATTTTGGAATAGTCCGTGAAGGTTGCCATGACGAAAAATAGCGTATGACAAAAATAGAATTTAATTAAATTAATTAAACCATTTTTATTAGAAAAATAATTCAGAAGAGCAAAACTGTGTATTGTAAAAGCTCCAAGCTGAAAATCAAAAAAGTGAATTTACAGCGATTGTTTTTACTTTAAGTGCTTATAAAGCCATTGAGAAATTGTTTACCTTTAATGCTTTTGCATTCATTTGAGCGTCTGCCCACATTTCTCTTCTAATTAGTAAACAACAATTAAAGCTGCAATTTCGTCAAGGTGTAGACGAAATCGTTAACTTTGAAAATAAAACGCGGCAATGAATTCCGCGGTTGTACGTCGCGCCGCCTCGATTGTCCTTTTATTGCTCGTTGGGGATATCACGGCTACCACTCAAATGCCTTCACGTTATTTTCCCTTTTGTTTCTTCGGTTTTTATGGTGCCTTGTAAAATAGGCATTGTTTTATTGCCAAGAACACCTTTCCTTTTAATTTTATACAGGAGGATAAGAATGTTTTTCTGTCTAGTAACTTTTAAGTTACTACACAGTAAAAATATTTCGGTGTAAAGTTACCAAATGGAGTGGTAAAATCATTGGGTGTTAATTTATACACTAAAATTGATCAAAAATATTAAGTGTTTATTTTAAATTGTGGTAAAATTCATTCGTGTTAATTTAAATTTATTTTACACAACACCGTGTCAATATAGTGTTAATTTAAAGATAAACTCGATGCAGTGTACATTTGACACTATTATTTGTTGACAGCTACACACATTGTGGTAAAAAAAGTCACGTAGTCATCACCATTCTCTAACGGCAAGGGAGGGATCAGTATTCCGAGTGCAGTTGATGGTAGTGTACCTATGCATGCTATTTTAAGACCATGGTTTTTAAATTAAAATTCAGTGGTCGGGTAAAGTGGTGCAATGTGACAGTGGATGCAACTTATGTTTGTGATATAACATGTTTTTTTTACCTGTGATTTTTAAGTGAAATATGAAATTTAGTAAAATTTTAAGTTTTTTGAGCTAGTGAAAAATCATATTTAACTTATATACCTATATAAGCTAAATATGGTTTTGCACAAACTGGAAAAAACTTAAAATATTAGGTACTACTTTTCATTCAAATAAAAAAAATTATTAACACTTCTTGGGTATAAGAATACACCTAAGTAGTGTTAATCATTTTTTTTTAATTTTATGCCAAAGCCTTTTTGTATTCATATCTAATAGTTTGGAAGTAATATAAAATATACTTTATTTTACATTACATGCTGTGTTTAATATTAAAACACCCACCATTTATAACATCTACACAGTGCTGAATTATCCAATAGGCCAACCTAGGCCATGGCCTAGGGCGCCGCGAAGCCAATAGGCGCCAAGAAGGCTAATTTTTTTAAAGTAGGTTGAATATTAAAATTAA